GATCCTCATAGTCAATCCGGCAGGACTAGGGGTGTTACCTCCCCCGGAGGGCCCCGAACCTGGATACATCGCACCGCTTGTCCATGATCTCGCCTCTGGAACCCACCAGCGTCCTCTGGCCCCAACCACACTCGATTAGCCATCATATGGCATCTGTCGTGATCACACCACTATACTTGGCGCCCATCATGGGGCCGTCAGCGGTGTCGACCGGAGTCATGTTCCAGACGAGACCCTTCACTTCCTCCGGTGAGCGCATCACGCACGATCTGATCGGCCTGCCCGGTGCTGCCTGCTGCGCCGGCAACGACGTAGCGCTGGGCACGGGTGCCACCCGCCCGGCAGGCGACTCCGTTGTCCCCTTCGACGAGCTGCGCGTCTCCGTCGTGCTCATCCTCGACGAGTACCCTAGCAAGGTGCTTACCTTCTCCGACCTGCTGCCATCCCTCGGCAGTCGCATCCCCGACGACGTCGATGACCTCTACGTCCGCGTGGAGGTTATGGCCACCGACACGAGCCGGATTTTTGGCCGCAACAACAATGCGGCCACTGCGGCGGAAGCTCGCGCCGGTCGGGCCGACCCCCTTCGTGTCGCGCTACAGAACCTCGTCACCCCCATTGCGCCTAACATTGACACGGTTGCCGTTGCGGCAGAAGCTCACGCCGGTCGGGCCGACCCCCTTCATGTTGTGGTACAGAACCTCGACACCCCCATTGCGCCTAACGTTGACCTGACCGTTGTCGTGGCCGAGCTCGAGGAGACCCGCAAGCGCCTGCTTGCCGAGGCCACGAAGATGGCCGCCACGGAGCGCCAAATGGAGTCCATGCAGCGCGTGTATGACACCGCTCACGGCCTCACCCCGCCGGATGACGGCTCGAGCCAGCTGGGAGGTGTGCGGCAATGCAGCCGAGCGCTTGGCGAGCTGCGCGTGAACCAGCCCACCTACAACACCCCCATCAAGAACATGTGTGCCGCGGAGGAGGTCGTGACCAAGATGGAGCATCTGCAAGGCGAAGAGCTGCAAAAGCAGCAGCAGCGCGTCCGTGACCTCATCGCTGCCGCCAACCAGCTGTAGACGCAGTTCGAGCCGGCTGGCTCACGGTCCTACTCACCCCTTTGTCAGTCGGACGGCCAGCAGCCCAGAGCTATGCTGCGGGCGTCCTCCCCTTCCCTCCGGCGCTAGACACAGGGGCTTGCACCGTGGCAGTCGGGGCCAGCGCAACGCGACCCATCGGTTGTTTCCAGCCGGTAGATGACGACCACCCGTAGCCGGAACGACCCGTGCGCCGGGAACGGCCGACCTCTACTAGGTCGGCTGCGTGCCAGCCGGTCGCCAGCCGGCTGGGCCCCCGTGAACCCAACGACGAGCATGACGCCCACCACCGCATTGAGTGGCTGGTGCACTTCCTCGCCCTGGAGGAACAAAGCTCTGTTGGGCCGGCCTGTTTTGGTCCGCGTATTCACGCCGGGATGTTTTCCAGGGGCTTCACACTCCCCCGCGGCACCCCCAAGTACAACAGGACCGCCAAGCCAGAGGATCGGCTGGTAGACTACATCATTGTTGTCGGTATCACCGGCGGCAACAAGCGCGTGGTCATGCGCTTTGTGCCGCTCATGCTGCTCGGCTCGGCCCGGACCTGGTTGAACAGCCTGCCGGCCGGCAGCGTGAACACCTGGCTGGACTTCGAGGACACATTTGTGCGTAACTTCACCGACATGAACAAGCAGCTCGGTTGTCCTCGCTAGCTCGCCACGTGCGTCCAGGGGCCAGACGAGTCCCTTCGGGACTACCTCACAAGGTGGATCGAGCTGCACAACTCCTGTGAGGGGGTCAACAAGGTGCAGGCGATCCAGTACTTCAATGAGGGATGCCGGGACAGTACCCTGCTCAAGCAAAAACTCAATGCGCTTTGAGCCGACCACCATGGCGGAGCTCATGGCCAAGGCGGACAAGTACATCACGGCCGAGTCCGCGATGCGAGCGACGGTCCAGTCGACGCAGCTGGCGAGGCGCCTCCGGGCCAGCCGGCCAACCCTCTGCCAGCTAGAAACAACAACAAGCAGCAGCA